CCCCAAAACCCCAAAACCCCAAAACCCCTAAATGAGGCTTATAAATAGAAAATTAAAAGTATTCTTATAATCTTTTGAGTCTAGCATGGAAACAACTCATCAAATATCTGACCTCCTCACCAAATTCAGCTATGCCTCCACCATTATGAAATATTTCGGAAGATACTCTGACAGCCAGATAGTACTGACACTTCTCAGTAGAGAAACAAGCAAGATGTGGACTGACTTCAAGTATGCATTCAGAATCTGTTTTCTAAGTACTGAGAATATTTAATACATTTGCATCCTCTCCTCATCAAAGGGAGTTTAAAAAGAAACATATGGAACACCATAAGGGCTTCAGCCAAGAGTTCTACGACTTGCTCATTTCAGAATTCAGATATATCAGCTATCTGCCGAAGATAAAACTTATAACTATCAGCCAAATTGAATTGTTATCAGATTTCATAAGCAAAGTTGAATATCCAGAGCATCTCCAGCTTGGAGAAGTACATATCATTTGTAAGAACAAAGCACCAAGTCCAGAAATATTGAACACTCCCTTCAACGCATTGGTTTCCAGAGGTATCTCCACTGATTGCATCAAAGTGACCCTGCCAGAATTCTTTAAGGCAGAAGAATATCAGGGAGCCTTGGAATATACAAGCGAACTTAAAACATCCATTTTCGAACAAGCAGATTATTTCAAGAAAATTGGTAATTTGAAATGCACCATCAGCAACAAAGAAACTGCAGAAATCTTCTTTGGGTTACAAACATCAATTTCTGAAATATCAATAACCTCCGATATTGCTGAGATGTTATTGCTTTCTGAAGAACTCAAAGTTCCAGAATCAGTATCCTCAGGTATAAAGAAAATTAACCTGAGAGTACTTAGTCCAACTTGTCCTACCAAAGAAAACCTGATACAAATTTTCTCCAATTTACAAGAAATTTACTATGATTTCACTCTTTGTCGAGCCATACTGAGCAGGCATGACATTTACACAGTCTACACTCATAACGGATCGAGCTTTGGAAGACACGATAATGAAATAATTAAAGAAAAGAAAATTAGACTAAAGTTCAATGATCCCATTATTATGAAAAACCTGGACGTGTTTTACTATAACGAAGAGTCCAAAACTACCACTGCATTTCATGTAGAAAGGCTTGATTTATTTGCAGATGATAAGAGCAGCTTTTATACTGTTAGTCATGATTTTATAACACTCTCTGATTTCACATCTTGTACTTATTACAATGTTTCCAGCTATAACGAAGTTGATTTGGTCTCGTTCAGTGATTTTATCCAAGCTCATCCTCTCCCTGGAGATGAAGTAAAATCAGTAGTTATTCAGAATACAGGATATCACAAGATATCAGACTCCAACCAATTCTTATTCGGGAGGCAAAAAGAAGTCGACCAGGTTATTCTTCAGAAACTCGATAGTTTACCACCCAAGAAAGTAGATTCCTTAATATCCAAACTATCAAAAGTAACAATTCATTCTTCGTTAACAGTCAAAGCTAAAGTTGGCAACTCATGTGAAGCTTTGATGCTTCTCACTAAGCTGCCTATCACTCACCTTGAGTTGTCCATTGACAACAGTGAGTTGAGCAAGATCAGCAGAAAAGATAGACGAGAACTCGTCGAAGCAATTGTCGGAATGGAATCTCTCCAGTCTTGCTATCTATCTTTAGACTTTTCTAAGACCAAAGTGTATATGAGAAGCATGACTGCCCACAACAAGCGCAGTCTCCCTGGAGTACTAAACTCCTTAATCTCAAGCGCTTTAAAGAAAGTACCAGAGACTGATTTCCTTGATGAGATCACAGTTTACGATCACTAACAGAATCGATTTTTCCAAGTCAAAGGGAGAAATAGATTTTAACCAGAAATCATTACCATTACTCAACCAACTTTCATGATCTAGGGGTTTTGGGGTTTTGGGGTTTTGGGG